AAAGCAGAGAGCAGAGTTGACCATGAGAAACTTGCAGATAGAGATGAGGTCCAGCGCCAACACCATAAAGGAGGTGGGTGATCTTTGATTTTGATTCTTGAAAGGTTGTCTTGGTTTTTGGTTTTTATTTTAATGGTCTTATCAGAATAGTCCTTTTGTTGTCTTTGTTGTTGTTGCTGTTGTTTTTATTGTCATTTTTATTTTCAATGTTGTAATTGCTGTCGCTGTTTTTATCAATGTTGTTTGCATTGATGCTGGTCTAGCACCCCTTCCATTCATGCCCTTCGGGGGCGCGGGGGGGGGGGTTGTATTGTGAAGTGTTTAAGTCTTTTTGCATCTTGAGCTTCCTCTCTTAGGGCTGGTGTTTGAAGGCCACTACTGGTAGGTCCTTGTTTTCCCCATTTGCTTCTGCATGTCTCTCTTGCTTTTCCCCTCCTGCACTTAATGGCCATTTATGGAAGATGTGCTTCTCTTTACTTACTCCTTCTGTTAAAGTTCCTTTTGAGATGCTGTTAAAGAATTATGAATCCTGGTGGTTATATTGACTACACCGATTTATTCACTGTCCATTGTTGTATTGTTCAAAGTCGAAGATTTGGTACAATGAAAATTTTTTTTCTGTTCAATACAAATTTGTACTCTGTAATGTTACATTTGCTATGTCTGCTTTTTGGCGAAATGAGACCATTGTTAACTCCACATGCCCTAAACTAAAACTTAACAATTTTATCTACTAGTTCTATAAAGTCCCTCGATTTTTAAAAAGCACAGCTTCATTCCTTTGTCCAAGATCATTAAGCACACAACTGGAAAGTCCGACCTCTTTTCTTTCCCGCTGTTGTTTCTGACTGTCTGTCTTACTCAATTTTGCTGTAACTCAAACGTCAAAAAAATCTTGAGGGTGGTTGGCGGGTGCTCTGATGAGGTTTGCTTCTTTCCTATCAAACATCTATCATCTTTATTTCTCCTTCTTTTTTGTGTTTGTTACTCTGTTATAACACCTCTAATTTTTGGGCACTTATACGACTTTGTTTAGTTGCAAAGACCGTAAAGCTCTTACTAAACACCATTTTTCAGCTGGAGGAGGAGAGAGAGGAGCTCCAGCGTCAGGTGACACATGCTAACAACGCACGTCTGCTGCAAGAACAGATCAATGACGACCAGCAGAAGTTCATCCATCAGCAGACGACGCAGCAGGCGCAACACACACCAAGGGTACGGTATATTATGAATGACGTATGATGTCGGTTTAACTGAAATTTGGAGTTTACTTTTAGCATGGATGATGTGCAAATATCAGTCATATTATGACATCAAGTTGGGGTTTTTTTTGGTTGTTAGTGGGGCTGCCTTTGTTTTGTAGAGGGTAATTGATAGATGATGTGATGTGGTTTACTTCTCATACTTCTTTTGAGAGTTGTTGTTGTTATTCATTCATGGAAAATTTTTGCAGTCATTATGTTTCAATTTAATATTCAACTTAATTCAGTTCTTTCCTTTGACTTTGTGGCCTTTGGCCTTTTGAGCTCAACTTAAGTCTTGTTGATTAGATAGAAAAAAGGATGTTAGATAATCCTTCTCTCAAGCTCATTTCATGAGAATATGGTACTGCGTGTCTTGCAATAGTCACTTGATCATGGCTATGGTGGTCAAAATCTAATTTATGTACACAAAACCCTCAAAAAAGGAAGAAGAAATGTTTCTCACAAGGAGTGACTTGCCCTCCCTCATGATGAGTCAAAACTTCGGGAGTTTGTGTTCACAAGAGATCAGTAGTGCTAGAAATGGACATGTGTAGGGAGGGGGGTGCAAATTTTGTGCATATGTGTGCATATGCGCGTGGGCTACAATGTCAAAACACTTTTGCATGATCTGTGAATAGAATATAAAATATGAGGCGTGCTGACAAAATGAATTACTTGTCAGATTTTAGCCCCAGGGAAATAGATTCATCAAATTAGAAGAAAATTTTTTAAGACACGTTTAACTTGAAGAAAATGGAATCAGTTAAAAATCTACCAATTTGATCCTAGCGTTGATTTTCAGCTAATACTTTCTTGTTTAGTTAACGAGAAATAAATCTTTTTCTCAGCACATTTCACAATGTTTGTTTTTTTTCCCTCAGGATTCCAAAGATTTTGACGAGTCACCTGAGCTGTCTGGGGACATGGACAAGTTGAGGGCAGAACTCTATGCATTGAAAGTGAGTTCACGATTTGTTCTTTTTGGATTAGGGAATATGAAAGAGTGTATATATATGCGTTTATTTGTTTGTACTTGTGTGTGTCTGTGAGGGGGGGGGGGGGGGGATTATAAATTCAATCTAGAATTTAATTTTATTGTAATATTTTAATTCTTTTTTTTTTAAACTTTTACTATTAGAAGTAGCTGTAGTAGTATTATTATTACTATTATCAATATTATTATTATTGTCTATGAACCTACTCTAAGTTCACCTGTATATGACAGTCACCTGCACAAACAGCCACTTCCTATTTCCATCCCTCATCCTTGTGTATTTTTGTATTATATGATGATACTTGACACTGTAAGACAGCCACCCATTTAATACATGCACTTTTCTCTTTTACAATGGATGGCTCTCTTAAACAGTTTCAGCTATATTTTCCATGTCACAACTGTCCTGATTCGTTTTCTACTGAAATAGGTCTTTTGTGACCCTAAGTCACTGTTAACTTATTCTCTCTTCCCACCCCCCACCCAACCATCTATCCACCTATAGCCTATTGTGTTTGTGTGCTCCTCAGATGGAGATGGACCGCCAGAGGTCAAGGTTCAAGGATGAGGTGACCCTGATGGGAGCAGAGAATGAAGAGCTGCTGTCGAAAAATGAAGAGCTCAAGAACGACATTGTAAGTGGTGGGAGTGCAGGAAGTCATGCATGACCTACAGGCTTATATGACTGGGCTGGTGTCCTCTGTGCACATTTTTTTGGTTTGTTTTTTTGTCTATTCAGAATTTAAGTAGTTTAGTTTTGGTAAGAGATTTACTTGCAACACAAATAGGGCGTCTCGACTGTGTGGTGTATGACTCTGCTGTGTACCATTTTGAAAAGTGACATATAATGGAGTCTTACACTGAGCAGTCTAGTCTATATAAGTGATGAAGGTTAGCTAGAGAGTAACATACACAGAAAAGAAGGAGGAGAGATAAGGATGATAGATGTTTGATAGGAAAGAAGGAGTGAACCAAACCAGAGCACTCGCCAACCACTCACTTTTCAGAATAGGTATGGCAGAATGTTGCATTTATAAACTTTGTTGTTACTTAGTGCACTTTCTATTGAGAAAACTGTTGAGTATACGATAATTTCATGAACTATCAGAAGAAAATGTACCCTGTTTTCGAGGAGGATCAATGCTTGATGATATTTTTATTGAGTGTCTGAAAGATTGTGGGAATGCAGAGAGTGAGAAAAATAATAATAATTCCTGAGATTGGTGCACACAGCAGATATTCCATCTCTTTCCTCAGCCACTTGATACTTTTTCTGTGCAGATATGCTATCCTCCATTAGTTTGATAAATGCACAGTTAAACCTGCTATAATGGCCACCTGTCCAAGAGAATCGCAAACGACCCCTTCCCACGTCCCCTTTTGCGTAGTTTCGATATTAAAATGACCCTGTTCAAGACAGGCATCTGTCTAAGACAACTATTGTTCTCCCCTACAATGGGTGGCTGTCCTGGGACAGTTTCGACTGTACTTTACTCTCGCGCGCAATGCTATGAACTGCTGTGAATGCAACCAACTTGTGTTTCGCACGCTCATATGACCTTGTGCAGTTGTGAGCGCTGTAAAACTTACTAAACTAAAACTAATCTTAACTAAACTAAAACTTTACCTCTTCTTTTATCACCCTCCTAAATGTGCCGCGAAGTGTAAATGGCTATTTTTCTTCTTCTTCTGTAAAGAGACTGAATGAAGAAGCCCTGGCTCACGCCACGATGCAGTATAACATCCAGGTGGCGTCGCTGCGTACAGAGATCAGCACAGCGTCGGCCTCTACTGACAGAGAACGTGCCACCCGGGAGAAGCTGGAGGCAGAGGTATGATGATGATAATAGTGATGGTGATAATAATGATGATGATGATAATAGTAATAATAATAATGAAAATAAATAGCATTTGTATAGCACTTATGGCGTTTTCAACAGCAAGCTCTATGCATTTTACAATCTATATTATGGGGCTTGGGTCTTTCTAAATTGTTTGATAGTAAATCATAGGATAGGAACAAAAAGACAGACTTTTTTGTATGTTTGTAGTGTTAAAGTTAATTTACTTTAGTAAATCGCTTGGTTGCTACTTCCATTTTTCCCCCTCTTTCTTTCTGTCTCATTCTCTATCTTTCTCAATGTCTTACTTGCTCTCTTCCCTTCCTCTCTTTCCTTCCTCTCTCTTTGTCTCTGTCTCTCTCTCTGTCTCTCTCTCTCTCTCTCTCTCTCTGTCTCTCTCTCTGTCTCTCTCTGTCTCTCTCTCTCTGTCTCTCTCTCTCTTTCTCTCTCTCTCTCTCTGTGTGTCTCTCTCTCTCTTTTTTTTCCTCTCTCTCTCTTTCATCCCTCTCTTTTCCATCCCCCCTACCTTTCTTTCTCTAGGCCCCGCTCTCCTTCTTTGTATAACTTTGCATAAATTGTTAGCCACCTATGCCATCATGAAGATGAAGTCACCAAAAAACATGCAATTATATCCCATCTCTGTATCCAGATTGAGTCTCTCAAGACCAGACTCTTTGCATCCAACCAGGAAATGGATAAAATTAACAGAGTTCGCAATGAGCTGGAAAGGTAAATACTGAGATTACATTTATTTCGAATTTGTTTTTCGCTGTCCCTTATATGGAAATAAAAAGTAGTTGTCTAATTTGAATTTATGACTCTGCTGTTGCGTAGACTCAGAGATTTAACAATGAGAGGTTGGCGGGTGCCTCAGATAAGTCCTACTGTTTTCTATCCCTTTGCACATTCAGTCTGTCTTTCTTCTTTTTCTCTTGGCACAAACTACCTTTGTGGTGTTGACAAACTTCTCTTGAACCCAAACTCCAGCCGAGGTTTCTTTAAAAATTAATGTAGAGAGGGAAACCGGCGGAGACATGATCTTGTGAATAGGTTGACAAATGCACCAGTTGTAATGAATTTACTCCATGTTACGTATAACAAAAGACATTGTCTCTAGTTGACTTCTTATTATTATACTACGCGTTACGCCATCTGGCATTTAGGGCAGCAACAAAGGATCTCCAGCTCTGTCTGTTTTGGGCCTTCTTGGTCAACGCCCCCCACGAATGGTTCCAGGACTTCATTTCAGACTCTACTGTGTGTCTCCAGGTCACTTTGGGTCTGCCCCTCTTGCGATGTCGTTCAGGTGTCCAGTGAAGGCTAGTCTTCACAATAGAGTCTGGTTTTCTTCTCAGAACATGTCCTATCCACCTCCGTCTTCTCCTTTCTAGTTGACTGGTGGCCACGAATTGACTTGAGGGTTTGTTACAAGAACGAGTTTCTTGCATTGGCCATGTTTTCCACAATACTGAAGCCAAATGCAATATTACCACGTAAGAAAGTAGAATCAATACACAAATATGTATACACATCACCAATGATCTTATATATATATATGCAGGCATTCATATACTTTCACTGTTCAGGGTTGAAAAAATTGTTCCCTGACAATCAGTGACACTCCAGATGAAGTTTCAGTTTTATTGTGACCATGAATGAGTTTTTAAATTGTATTCTATATCTTTTTAGTGAATGTATTATCGTTGCCAGGCTCGAAAGGGGAAATGACTTCTGTATCCATTACTATTGTTTATTTATCTATCAGAGACCATCGTCGTGAGAAGGAAACGTGGGTTCGAGAAATGGAGAGAAAGGAGGAGGAAGTGAACATGTTGAAAGACAATGCTCAGGTTAGTGTGGATTCAGTAATCACATTTTAATATAAAACTTTACATCTTGATAAATTTGTTTTAAATGTATGTGTTTTTTTCCGTCTCATCGACACAATTTAGGTTATTTTGGAGATAGGCTTTGACCCTGCCTACTGTTGGGGCCAAACCCAGGCTGAGAGGGATACAAC